TAGCTCTGTTATCTTCTCTGGTGTAAGTGTTTATCAAGATCAGCTACTGCCTGTATTTTTTTAAAAAAAAATTTATTGAAAAGTCAGATAGAAGAAGAGACAGAGAGAAAGATCTACTGTCCTGTAATTCACTTCCTAAGTGGCCGTAAACGGCTGGATCTGAGTCAATCTGAAGCCAGGAGCCTCTTCCAAGTCTCCCATGCAGGTGCAGGGACCCAAGGCTTTGGGCTGTGCTTGACTGCTTTCCCAGACCACAACAGGGAGCTGGATGGGAAGCAGGGCAGCCAGGAATAGAACCAGTGCCCATATGAGATCCTGGCGCATGCAAAGCGAGGATTTTAGCCGCTAAGCTCCTGTGCCAGGTGCTACTACCTGTGTTTATTATGTCTGAAGTACATAGCTAATTGTACTTTCTTCAGATCAAGGAAATATTTTCCTCCAGGTGTTTGCTGCTTCTTCTCTCCAGCAAAAATGAAATAAGAAAAAATTTTCCTGCTTCCTAAACTGTGTCCATTCCTCTCTCTCTTTCACCCTGTCTTTTCACTGGTTTTCTCCCTCCCATGTTTGCCTCCCCCTTTGCTTCTTATCATTACATAACAATTCTTACATGAACAATATATTCTTAAGTTGCATGCTTTAGTGAAATGAAGATTTCAAAAGAAATAGGTTATTTGTAGCACTTTGCTGCCTTATTCAGAAAATAAGAAAATAATTATTCCAGTTGGCTGTGTCAGTATTTGTGGCCATACACGTTTGTGAGGGAGGGAGACTAAGGTCTCATGATTCCAACAAGGTGACACTTCCATTATTCATAACGACTGCATGCGATGAGACTGTTCAAATTAGAAAATGACACAAGGTTGTAGCTAGATAGGAGTAAGAAATTTTGGGATTCTGTTTTTTTTTTTTTTATTTATTTTTCTGATTTATTTACCAGAAAGGTAATTTTACACACACACACACACACACACACACACACACACACACACACACTCCCTAGATGATTGCAATGGATGGATCAGTGTCAGACCAGAGCCAGGAACCAGGAGCTCCATCTGGATTCTCCATGTATCTAACAGTCCAGGTGCTCCAGCCAGCCTAGGTGCATTAATAGGAGTTGGATTAGAAGTTGAGCACCCAGGACATAAAGTGACATCTCTATGGGATTCTGGGACTGCAGACAGTGGGTTAGCTAGCAGTGCTACAGTACCTGACTGTCTCTGGGGTGATTATAAACACTGTAAATATACTGCATGATTCCCCATCTTCACCATAAAAAATATTCAGTGTTTGAAAAGATAATATATATTTGCCCTGATTGGGTTTTATTCAATGTGTGTATACATGTAATCAAGTTTCTTAATACCCGTAGATATGCAAATTTTTACTTGTTTGTTAGAATTGTTTAAGAAATGAAAATGGGGAAATTGTTACATTGATTTTTTTATTGCAAAGTGGTAAACTTTTCAAATGTCTTTAAATGTGCTTTGTTATAGCCTTTTAGAGTCACATATCTTTAAAATTGTAGTGATTCTTAAAATATTTTTTCATATCTTAAGGAAGTCTTCAAAATATTTTTGTCCGTGTATGTTGGAGTGCGCATGCGTGAGAGAGTAGTCATGAGTTTAAGTTAAATAGCTTATGATTGTGAAACTGTGAAACAACAATCTGTTTTAAGCTGTCTTCTGTGTATAGTTACCTGCTAACTGATTAACCAGTAGGAAAATTTGTAAGTGACCTGAATTTAGGCCAGAGGCATGGAAATCAGTCATTGGTTAGCCATGTGTGAACCTGAGAAAGTTAATTAACAGTTTAGCTTCCCTGTTTTCTTGTATGAAAAGAAGAGAGTTATTCTGATAGGTTCTAAAGCTACATTCAGTGCCAATCTTTTATGGTTTTATTAAAAGTAGAGACAGACAGGCTTTTCCTCTTCCATGGCAAGAAAGTGGAAGCGGGAAAGGGGCTGTGAGCCTTTGAAGAAGAAAGACAGATTGAGGAGTTAGGAGGGACACGGCGAAGCTGCCCGTACACCATCAACTGCACAGGGTAATGAATGAATGGGTTCCAAGTTTCGGTGCTTTTTTTCCCCCTTTTTCTTTCTGATGTCATACAGTAATTGGCAGTGCCTGTTTTACACGATGATCCTTGATTTCTGTAGGTAAAGCAAATGTGCTGGCCTGGCTCTCGAAGAAACATAAAGTGAAGGGGAATCTGTGTGAAAGATTTATTTTCTTAGCTGAGGAAGTTGGGGACAATTTCCTGCAGCTGTGTAGAAGGGCTTTCTGTGGTAGATATTCCTAGATTTTGATTGTTTACTGAAACTAGAACAGATAAAAGTGGGGTTCAGTTGTAGTCAGGTTTTCGTTTAGAAAAGAGGAGTCATTTTCTGAGCACCATAGCTGTTAGAAGCATAAATGATCCCTCAATATAGAATCATTTCAAAAGTTTCTGATGTCCTGAAGCTTCTGTGTTGGGTCATGTTCAGGGATAGTATTTGAGGTCCTTAAATAGAGTGTAAATAATCCCCCAATTATCATTTGTTATTGGTTTGATGTGCAAATGAATCCCCCTGAAGTTGTTGCATTGGGTTATGACTAATAAAAGTATTTTTGTCCTGTGGCTGATTGCTGATTAAAACTATAACTAAGGAAAGGGTACTTTAAAAAATATCTATTTAGGGAACTGGCATTCTAGTGTAACAAATAAAACTGCTGCCTGGGTTTTTGGCATTCTGTGTGGGTGCTACCCTGAGTCCTGGCTCCTCCACATCAAGTCCAGCTCCACGTTGATGGTCTGGCAAAAGCAATGAAAGATGGCCCAGATATCAAAACCTGAAGCCAAGGCCGGTTGACCGGAAGCAAGCTGCAGCTCCTGGCTTTAGCCTGATGGTTGTGCCATTGGGGAAGTGAACCAGCAGAAGAAAGATCTCTGCCTCTCCCTTGTCTCCTTCAGTCTGCACATAGTCTTTGATATAATAAATAAACATTTTAAATATTTTCTTTATTCATTTGTTTGAAAAACAGAGACAGACAAAAAAAATGCACTCTACTGCTTCATTTCCAAATGCCCACAACAGTTAAGGCTGGTCCAGATCAAAGCCAGGAATTAATGACTCCTACAGGAGTAACAGTGATCCAGTATGTAGGCTACAAACTGTAGCCTGCCAGGGAATAGAAAATAAGCAGCTGGAACTGGAGCAGAGCCAGGACTTGAAACCAGGCAGTCTAAGATGAGTGTCCCAAGCAGCTTTTAAACCACTGCAGCAAACACCTGCCTCTTCTTTTGAGATTTCAAAGAATAATTTACTAATAAATTACTTATTTCCTATTATTGTTTATTTTTGAATCACTTAAAGAAATTTTAATTTATTTATGTTAATCAAAACATTTCCCCTGTCTCCTGGGTTCAGGACTTTATCTTAATTAATGAGATCAAATTTATTCTCTTACATTATGAGGTAATTCCACAATTTCTTTCCTATATCAAGGCAAAATTCTATTTCACCAGTTTGTTGCATTTTTTATAGTTATTTCTAAAGGTTTCATTGCATAGTTGGTTCAAATTTATTCAAAAATTGTGTGGTGGTATTACAAAATATTTACAAATACCTTGCACACTCTTCCCCTTTATTAACATTTCATATTAGTATGTTTGTCTCAAATATAAAGCATACTGAGTGTCCCCACTGTCTTCTTTTGTTTTTTTAACCCAAATGCTCTTTGTAGTTCCTTACTAGGTTTCTTTTTTCGAAAGACAGCATCTTTAACATGCCAAGCAATGTAATCATGCCCTATCTCTTGGGTTAATGGTTTCCACTCCAGAACGCCAGGTAGTGAGTGCCATAATAAACATCAAACCCTGAGTTTATTAGAGTTTTTCCACTTTCTAACTTGAAGGAGTAAGAATTTATTTCGCTTAAGTTCAAGGGAACATGTGAGTTAATATTACCATTAAATTTTGTATATATGGCAAAACCATGCAAGAGAAGGTTAGTCCCTGTTTTATAGCTAGAGCATTCCCCAGCAGCAGCCCTTGGCACTCATTTAAACCACAAGAAAGTGTATTGGGTATCATTCATTCTGACTTGATGAGAGACACAAGAGTTATATATTTAGGTGAAATTTATTTTCGTATTACTACTGGGCTATGGTGAAGTTTGGCATTTAGAGTACTAACCATTTTGGTTGTAAAGAAATTTTTAAAAATATTCCTTTTTAGTTCTTGAAATATGTATTACTGGCACTTTCTCTATCAAAATCTCTGAAGTTTTAGCATTGAAATCAGAATATAGTTACAATTTACAGACAGGATTATACACTTTTCCCAGGTCTCATAATTTATTCATACTTATTTTCTAGGCATCTTGGTAATATCTGTAAAAATTTAAATGAAATTGCATCGTCTCATAGGCTTCCTACTGAAGTTGTGATCATAAATGAGGAGCAAAATTCAGGTTACATTGCTGATAGAATCATAAGCTGTGCTTTTGCCAGACCTGAGAGTAATTTATGTGCTTATCAATTATGAGCAGCTTTGGGTTAATAGAAAGCAGAAATTGATTTGATGATGGAAAATGAGATTAATACTTCCTTATGTTTGATTAGGATGTTCAGTTTTGATTTCTTTGTAGCCATAGCAGCTAAAAATTATGCTGTTTTTAAACCTGTCACATATGTACTTATCTAACCTGTCAACTGGCAGCATCATTAAAGTCAGTGGAAATTGTTCTGTAATTGTATAGCTATCATCCATTATAGTCCTGACACTTAACCGCATTAGATTTTTAAGATTCATTTCTGTTTTTTCTTAAATTATGCATGATAATATTTAAGATGCTAACAAACGTTCATTCATGGATACAGTGAGCCATATATCCAAATATTGATGTGATCTTTATTTTTAAGAAGTGTCACTGTTAAGTCAAATCTTATTGCTTTTTTGAAATCATTTTATATTTCTTTATTTTTATTTATTCCATGTTTTCTTTTTTTTTGTTTTAGTTGGGTCTGGTAAGTTGACATTTTATTGGCCATCTTCTAATCACCGTGTCACTGTGACTGGAACTTCTCTTCCCCTTTCCATCCATACCCTTCCATGTCCTTCAACCAATCAGCCTCCATGTTTCACTTGTCATTGGCCACAAAGACAGACTGCACAGAATAAAGTCTGCAGGAAATATGGGTAACTGTGACAAAGAGTAAAGGTAATGGGTTGCTAACTTGTTTCTTATGAAATGATATGTGTTCTGCATCATTTTATCTCTTCTCTCCAATAATCAGTGATGAAATAAGTAATTGCATGCCATCTTGGCTAAGTATAATTCAGTGAATTTTTGTAATTTCAAGTAAGTTTATGAATCTGTGTCTGAGTTTTTGTGATGCTGGCTCAGTAATAGCCACCCGAGGTCCCACTGGCGTACAGCCTTGTGATTAGGGCTTTCTCTTGCACTCATTTCCATTTCTATGTGTCTTTTGGTGCATGAAATGTCATTTGATTTAAGAAAGAACCACATGATATGTCCAGCACTTATGCGAATTTGTTATGATGAAACTTTGGCCTCATTTTAATAAAGAGCCATGAACCTTTTAAGCATTTACTTTGGGAGTGGGTGGGGAGTCCTTTGATCTGGTAAGGTTATTGGAATACATTTTTAGCAAATTTGTATGAGTCTGCTAATGGATTTGCAAAGAAATAATGTTTACCCTAAATGAGCCTCTTTTGTTATTCTTTAAAAGGTTACAAAGATATTGCACAAGTGACACTTTTTATTAATAAAAGATTGATAGTTCAAGAATTAATATTTGTAATAAGTAACCATTAAAACTGCTCTCTAAATACATAGAAAACCAAAGAGGAATAAAAGTTTAAAATAAAAAATGAAGTACTTAAAAGATAACAATGGAAGCATTTGCATACTGTGTTCGAACATGTACTGTGCAACAGAAATTCCTAAACAGATAGGCTGTTAACAAAATTTTTAAAAGTTGTATATGAGAAATGCCTCAAATTATAGCCTATTAAAATTAAGAAGAAAATATAAAAAATCAAAAGCAAATGCAATATTAATGAGAGTATGTAAAGAAGATGTTTAACTTCTATAATTGAAGAATACGCATTAAGAAAACAACTATTCTTAGTTTGCTGATGTTACCCTCATGTTTGTGAGATTTAGTAGAACAGGCGGTCTAGGTTCTGTTAGCAAGAGTATCACTTGATAAAAAACATTCCTGAGTGTAATTTCACTATACTCTGCTATTACATTCTTTGCAGTTTTCCAGACCCTGTAATTTTACCTCTGGGAAATAATCTTGAGTGTTTTTGTGAAAAGGATGTTAGTTTAACCAGTATTTTCAATAGTAAAAATAAGAAGCAATTTAAATTTAAACTGGCAAAGATTACTTAAATAACTTAAACTAATTTACATATTAATTTTATATGGCTGTAAAAATGACATTTTAGAGAATCTTAAGGAACAATGGGACCAAATTTTCATGGTAGACATAGGAATAGATCTTTTTGCTTCTTTTCTAATTTTTCACCAAACATTGAATTTATATGATATTGGTAACATGACTATGTATCCTTGATGTTAGCAAGTTTAAGTGTTGTAGCCTTCAAAAAGCATCCATACATATTGCAAATATCAAGTAAGTAAATATGATGAATGATCACTTTCTAAAAATGATATATAATGATGATAGATTGATAAATAGAACCATGATTAGTCCCTTAAACTTTTCCCAAGAGTTATCTATACTTGATATTTAATAAATGTAAACAGGAGATTTTTATTTATAAGATATGGCTAAGGCATATCTTGTGGCTGATATCACTGTTGATGTTGGCTTGAGAATAGCATACAAAATCTACTAAATTCATTTCCAGGTAAATATCCTGTGTGGAAGGATTGCTTCAGGATAAATGTAGTTAGTAGTATTGCTTGTTCCCAAATAAGTCTTTGAGGTTTAGGGAGAGCTGGCATTTTATTAAAGAAACACAGATTCTGGCACATACTCTTAGACATGTTTCTAAGATTTAGGAAAGAGACCACCCGAAGGTTTACTTGACTAAGTGGTTTGAACATTTATATTTTCCTACTCAGCTTCCCTGCATGTTGGAAAGTCATATTCTCCCAGCCATCTAATTAATCATTTGGTTTCTTTCATTGACACAAACCAAAATCTAGTCTGGATTTAGTTTATTCCCAGTCAATGCCTTCAATTTCTTGGTATGATTTCTATATCAATTATTCTGTCCCTTGACCAAGGGATAGAATACCCCTGAATGGAGGGAAAATCCCCAAACACTAATGCACTTGCCTATTATTTTGTCTACGTAATGACAGCGTTTGCTAAATTCATGAGTGTGCCACTCAATTACAATCACAGTTTTTGAAAAAATTATAAGCTGGAACTTCAGTGTTACCAAATTGAACTTCAACTTCGTATTTTTTTTTCTCTATAAGTTAGAGGACATTTGAAAGCATTTGACCTGATTTTTCAGATCTGTAATTTTCTAGTCAAATGGTATAATTTCTACAAAACCTCAATTTTTGAAAATAAGGTCATAGAGGAAAACACACTAATCTAGAAGTTAGACAATCTAATTACTTTCTTCAGTTCTGCCAATATGTACTTGTAGACAAATCACTTTACGTTTTGGTTTTTAAATGGAGTTTGAATTTTTAAATATATATACATATATATATATCACCAATTGCATATTAAATAACCTACAATGTCCCTTTATAATTTATGTATTCAAGAATCCTGAATAAAGGCTTGATCTCTATTAAATGAAGTGCACCAAAAAATGATTCATTAAAAGAAAAACATATTTTTAAAAATTTATTTATTTTTATTGAAAAGGCAGAAATACACAGAGAAGGAGAGACAGAGAAAGATCTTCTGGCCTCTTGAGCTGTGCTGATCCACAGCCAGGAGCCAGGAACCTTTTGCGGGAATCCCATGTGGGTCCAGGGTCCCCAGGCCTTGGGCCGTTTGTAGCTGTTTTCCCAGGCCACAGGCAGGGAGCTGGATGTGATGTGGTGCATTGAGGACACAAACTGGCCCCCACATGGGATGCCAGCGCTGCAAGGCAAGGACTGCAGCCACTGGGCTACCACTGGGTCTGAGTAATAGATTTTAGTACTGTTCCTCAGTGACAAAGAAAGCATACTCTGGCAGACTGGTACAATTGTTACACATAATCTGAATTTAATTTTTGCTTTGTACTCACTTCTAAAGAGCTTAAGTAAGTCACTGACATAAGTAGCTGAAAATAACATTCACAGAAAAGGTTAGAAATAATGGGAGAGACTTCAATTTGGATTAGAACAATGTTATCCTGTATAAACTTAACCGTCTGGCTTGACACACTGCTTCACTTCAGTTGGTACAAGACAGAATAATTTGGTGTTTCAGATAGCTGATAAGAAATAGATTTGAACAGTGTAAACAGTAGGTAAAAACTTACACTGAGTGTGTGTTTCTTGCAAGCACAAGCACAAGATTGTGCCAAAAAGATGCTTTTTTTTTGTTCCACGGTGGTTCCATCGGCACACCTTATGGTTCCAGCTGCCTTTGAGTGGCATGTAACTGACACAATTTTCTGACACGCTATTTACTATTGGATGAAGTAGCCATTTAAGTCTGTATAAATCAAACAGTTTGAGCAAAGCTGGCAGTATTTACAATGTCAGGATGAGCAGATGTTTCAAATTTGCCCTCATTTCCATGTATATTCTGTTTCAACATGCCCTTGCCTATGTAAATGAAGGAAGGTATTCGACTCCACCATTGCTCTAAATTTATTTCTATTCAAGTAATTGAACTGAAGATTTTAAATGGCTATAATTTGTATGGTAGCATTTCAGGAGCTTTTGAGATAAATTAAAGTAATTTTAGAACCTGGCTATATTTTCAGATCCTTCTGTGTTTGTTAAAGTTCATTCACCTTTAAGCAATTCTGAATTAAAAAAAAAAAAGAAAATATTTATTCATACGAGTTTCAGGTGCATTCTGAAGGTTGAAGGGTCAAATTGCAGCTCAATAAATTGCTTTAAATATGAAGTTTAACATTAGGAGATGAACCAATAAATAATAAAACTCAAAAACAGCTCAGTTAATTCATTCCTTATGGATGTTCTTAAGCATTTCCTTTCTATTTAAGTATGTGAATTTGTATAGTGTTGCTATTGTGTATAGTACCTTGGACAGAATAAAGGCCACACTTGATATAACAAGAAATTGTGTCAATTAGGACAGTAACTGGTTGCTACAAGTTTACTGAAATTTGCTTCATCTTTTTAAAGACAATTATTTTTATTATTTACCATGTTACAGTTCTATACGTATAGAGATGCCCCCTTCCCCTCTCCTTCCTCCATCCCCTTTTCTCCTGCCACAGTAGTATAGTCCTTCAGTGACAGTTACAGATTACACATTCTGCTATTTAAGTGCATCCTGGAATTGTAGGTATAGACAAAGGTAGAATCTCGAGTTTCCTATTGTCATAATTAAACTGGCTAATGCCCCATCTCTTTTAGAGCCTCCACATTTTGTGGTGAAACCTCGTGACCAGGTTGTTGCATTGGGACGAACTGTGACTTTTCAGTGTGAAGCAACCGGAAATCCTCAACCAGCCATTTTTTGGAGGCGAGAGGGGAGTCAGGTATGACCTTTTACTCATGTTTCAGTCAATAAGGAGAAGTGGCAAATATATGAAAAGAAATGAAAAGAAACATTTTACTATTTCACACAGCTAGCATATTAAAAGAACTGAGGAATCACTCACTGTGTAAACATTGGGTCTGGAACACGGGGTAGTTTATAGAAATGGTTATCATGTAGTTTTATATTTCAAATTGAGATTAAAAAATGTTTTTACTTAAACATGCATCATTTACATTTCTACTATTTAGAAATCTGGGATTGTATATTAGGAGAGGTTTTATGCAGTTTTAAAAGAGAGGTGATAATTATTCAGTGGAATTTTGCTGAAAACATCAGAAATATGAGTGTATTTTGAATCATTAACTATATGAAATTCTCCCTCATATAGCTACCATGTCATGTTCAGCATATTGTATTTGAAAACTAACATGTGATTCTTGATAACCAATAAATCCTATAATCTAGATGTTTTATGGACACAAGTTTTCTGTAGACACTGAAACTGTAATATGCAGTTTATTCTTTTTCGAACCCTAAGTTCATTACCTGACTCTGGTTTAACAAGTAGGAACTGTAAAAATACATGTTTATCTCACCTCTTAATGACTTCCATCCTTCAATAAGGTAAAACATTTCCCTTTACTTTTTATATATTTATTAAAATGAAAAGCCTTGAAATCTTTTGGAAAAAGATTTCAGCAATTTTAAATGCACTAGCTCACTCCTCAAATGGCTGCAGTGGACAGAGCTGTACCTGGGCAGATGCCAGGAGCCTAGAGCTTCTTCTGGGTCTCAAACATGGGTGGCCAGGGCACCAAGCACTTGGGCCATCTTACGCTGCTTTTCCATGTGGATCAACAGGGAGCTGGATGGGAATTGGAGATGTTGGAGCTCAATCCAAATCTTTATATGATCCACGATGCCGTAACGTCAGCCCCTTTCTTTTATTTCTCATCTCTCTTATATTTGCTTAACTTATTCTTGAGTGTTTTGTTTTAGGTTTTCACTCCTCAGGTGCTCTTATGAGTAGCAATTTGGAAGTTTGGTTACCAAACTCAACCTTTTTTCTAGGCAGTGCCATTAATTTCATTTTTATAGGCAAATACTGATTTGGTGAATGTGTATAGTTATTTCAGTTCTGATATCTTCGTGAATTCTATAAAAATACATTTGACCCCAAAGGATTTAATTTGATGGCAGTAAATTAAAAATGGGTAGAACAAAATACTTTAATAGAAAGAAATTAGCAGTATCTTGAATAAAAAACTGTGTTGTGATAGTTAATTCACTGCAAGCAGTTAATATACCTTAGGTGATCCATTTGAGCAATCTGTAATGTAGATCAATTTTGTTTTAAATATTTGCGTTTGGTTTGGATTAATGATGTAATTCAGTTTTTCCTAAATCTTTATGTATCTTCATATATATATATATAAAACATATATATATATATATATATACACGCACACACACGTATATATATATATATACACTCGTATGCATTGGAGTATATCAGCTGATGATGTCATAATGCAACATATTTTGTGTTAAGTACACTGTGATATTCACAGCTTATGACATAATTCTTAAAATGTGCTGCCATCCCTGTGTAATGCATGGTTACGTATATTTTTATAAGTTCTTATCCATATATGTGGGCATATGGTGAAAGAATATTTAACTAATTCTTGCATATATGTTGTGCATATACATTTATACATGTATTTATAAATGTATATATTACCAGTGCCAAAATAATGGAATGAATTTGGCAATTAACCTGTTTTTGTTCTTTTCTTCCCAAATTCTGGATTCCAGAATCTGCTTTTCTCATACCAGCCTCCACAGTCCTCCAGCCGGTTCTCAGTCTCCCAGACTGGTGACCTTACTATTACCAATGTTCAGCGATCTGATGTTGGGTATTACATCTGCCAGACTTTAAATGTTGCTGGAAGTATCATCACAAAAGCATATTTGGAAGTTACTGATGGTAAAGTAAAGCATTTTATTTCAAAATATCCAAATTTGTTTTATCTTCTAAAAAGAATGCTGGTAGATGTTTATCTCCAACTCTGCATTCCTTCTTATGGACATTTTAGTATAAAACCAAGGAGGTTATTGATGGAATAGATCTAAAATCATTTGCAGTTCAGCTTGACTCTATTGTATGAAAATCCTTGACATCCTGTCACACAAATAAATATTGAGTAGCTGTACATGGGCATGTTCTGACATTTTAGGAGGCAGTGATTTCACAATCTCTGAATTACCATTTTCCAATGTGCTCTGAATTATGAGATTAGGTGTCTGGAAAGCCAGCATAATGCAACTCCAAACTCATTATCATTCTTGATAGTTAGCGAGCTTTCCTTAGTAAAGTGATATTACTCTATCATTCCCCTTAGATATGATCAATTAATGCCAAATGAGTTAAATAAACATGACACTGAAGAAAATCTCCAAAGCACAAGGAAGAATATGGAGGAGAAGAAAAAATACATATAAAGTTGTTAAATAAACAGACATATATTAAATATGTACCATATATGTAACTATGTATGTCATGTTTGTATATATTTAATATGTATACATATGCAGTATATATACATACCTATACATACATGTGTACACTCATAAGAGACACATACATATAGAAGAGGACTTCAAAAAGTTCATGGGAATAAAATAAAAATAAATTTAATAATTATGCAAAATTTAAATCCATATACAATTTTTTATAACTCCTGTATTTTTATAATTTTCACGAACTTTTTGATGACTCCTTCTATAACATTTAAAAGCTTTTTCACACCATAATGGATTTGTATTTTATTTCAGTTTTCAACATACTTTTTAAAGTACTTTCACAAATATTATATGTATAATAAATAAATTATAGGAGCCATCATTGTGGTAAAAGAGTTTAAGCCACTATTTCCTTTTTTTGTTTTCTAAGCCAAACTGTATCCGGCTTTACTAAAGTTTACTTTCCTAAACAATCATGGTATTTCAGGCAGGACACAGACAGACAGTCGTGAACAGCTGTCTACCTACAACTTCCTCCTCAGTAGACTGCCAGAATCTGAAAGCCACTATAAAACCCAATGAAGTCTTCCTCCGATGCTCTGAAAAGGGGACGATTACAGTGAGGGTTGACACTTCACATTTAGCATGTTGTTTAACAACTTGTCACAAGCTGACCCTGACTTTCAGAAAATGAAATGAAAATGACATAATGCTCAATCTGAAGATCTACAATCTAGAAAAGGAACCATTGGGCTTCTGAGGGACTCCAGCTCAGTGGGGTCTCCTTGAAGTCCAGATGGCCTGTCATGCTGGTAACAAATTTTAGTGGGTCAGGTCCAAAGAGGTCTCTGGGTGTGAGGAAGGTAAGTCTATGCTGAAGGCAGACAGGGAGGAAGAAGGAGACATAAAACCCAGTTTAGATTTTCCATGCCACAAATGTGTGCCCTGGTGGCTGTGTGCCAAAGGCAGGGAATCCCTCCTGCAAGACAGGAGGAAGGCCTTCCAGGCTACAAGGGGGAGGGTGTTTTCTCCACATCAACCCAGCTTTGGATACTTTCCATTAGTGACCTATGTCCCTTCCCTGCAAACAACGATCAAGTGTTCTGTGTGCTAACAACATACTTTTTAAAGTACTTTCACAAATATTATATATATAATTAAGAAATTATAGGAGCCATCATTGTGGTAAAAGAGTTTAAGCCACTATTTTCAAAACTGCAAGGGCATATTAGATTGTTAGTTTTTCTTGTCTCTAGCTTTGCTTTTAGTGGTTTAAGATTGTCTTACATAATCAGGGTCTCTTGGGTTTCCATATGAAATTTAGGATTATTTGTTCCTGATCTAAAATGAATGTCCCTGGTAATTTAATTCATATTACATTCAACCTGCAAATCATTTTGGACAGTATGGGCATTTTAATTCTGCTATTCTGCCATTTTTTTCCTGTATGTGTTCTGTTTATCTCCCTAAAGTACTCCAATTCTTAAGAGGTCTTTTGTTAAATTTCTGGCAAAGTATTTAAAATTTTATAGTTATTTTGAATTGAAAAAAGTGTACCAGTTCTTTCTCAGGTATAACATTGTGTCTAAATACAAATGATATTCATATTTGTGTATTGGTTTTATGCCCCACACGTTTTCCTAATTCTTTTATGAATTCCAATAGTCTCTTAGTGGAGTCCTGAAATTTCAAGAACTATATTGAATACAAATGATGAAGTGGCCATCCTTGTCTGTTCCTCAGTCTTAGTGGAAATGCTTCTAGTGTTTTGTCATTAAGTATGATGCTGTCTTTGGGTGTTTTCACTTACTGCTTGGATTGTTTGAGATATGTGCTCTCTATACACAATTTCCTTAAGACTTTCATCATGAATAATATTGTATATTGTCAAAGACTTTTCTACACAGATTGAAATACTCATATATTTTTATATTTTATTGTGTTAATTCAATGTGTATCATATTTACTGATTTATAAGTGTTGAAACATCCTTCCATCCCTGGGATAAATCCCACTTGCTTAAGGTTGATGATCTGTTTGACTTATTTTATGACACTAGTTAGTGTGATGTTGAGGATTTTTGCATCTGTGTTCATCAAGGATATTGGTTGATGGGTGTCTTTTTTTAATTTTGGAATTGAGGTAGTACCAGGCAATAGAGTTTCAGAGAATTCCTTACTTTTCATTATTTTGAATAGTTTAAGATGAAGTAGGATTAGTAACTCTTTAAAGGTTTGGTAGAATTCAGCATTGGAGTCATCTAGTTGTGGGATTTTTTGTTGATAGTTTTTAATAATATAATTATTACTGATTCAATATCACCCTTAATTTTGGGTCTGTTCAGGTTTTCCATATTTTTTTGCCTCAGTTTTGTAAATGGTATGTACCCAGAAATCCATGTGTTCCAAATTTCCCAACTGTTTAACATATAGCTGCTTTATTTTTTAATTCTGATCAATCTTTTAGCTTCTGCAGTTTCAGTTGTGTCTGCTATTTAATCTCTGATTTTATTATTTGAGTTTTTTCTCCTTTCTTGGTTAGCTGTGCCAGTGGTATGTCAAGTTGCTTATTTTTTTCAAAAATTAATGTTTTATTTCACCTGCTCTTTTGTATGTTTTGTTTTACTTTTTGGTATTTCTTTTCTAATTTTTATTGTTTCTTTCCTCCTACTAATTTTGCATTTAATGAGTTTTATTTTTCTAGATTATTGATTCATTTTTACTTAATTTGATATATTTTCTATTTCTTGAGACAGACAGTAATTCCTGAAACTTTCCTCTTAACACAACTTTTTTCAGACATATCCCACAAGTTCTCATGTTTTGTTGTCATTTTTGTTCATCTCAATGATTTTATTTATCTCTGTTGTGTTGTATTTATTGTATGGCCATGATTCAGGGCCGTGTTGTTCAATCTTTGTGTATTTATGTATTTTCTAGAATTCTTTATGTTGCTGATTTTCACCTTCATTTCATTGTGATGAGAAGAGATAGATGGCATGAGGTTAATTATTTTCAATTTCTTGGGACTGACTTGATGCCAAGGGATTGCCCTATGCACTGACAAAGAGATGATGCATATTCTGCGTCTGGATTTGTGTATGTTTATTAGATCCATTTGATTGATAGTATTTATCAACTCTGTTGTTTGCTGATTTTTGTGTGTGTGTGTTGCTTTTTTTTGTAGTGCTTTTGCTTTAAATGACTGGATGCCCTAGCATTGGGTGCCTAAACATTTACTATAATCACATCTTCTTCTTAAATTGATCCCTTAGTTTGACATGATCACCTTATGTTTCTTTTAAAACCTATGTGACAGTTTTTTCAAAAAAACTTTCTCTGCTTGCTTTTGATGTCCATATTTTTGGAATTTCTTTTTTCACCTATTTTCAGAGCATTTAGGAAATTTTATTGCCTGAGTATATTTTGTGTGACCATCATACCTGTTCTTGTTTTCAATCTGTTAAACTTCTGTACATCTTTTATTTGAATTATTTAGTGTATTTACATTCAAGGTTGTTACTCATAAATAATGACTCTGTTCTTCTATTTTTCCATAAATGTTGCTTACTTGGGATCCTTTTTTTTTTTTGACAAACATTTTCTGCCTTTACTTTCTGTCATTATGCTTATTATCTTTCTCCATTTTTGAATGTAGTGCATATTTCAGTATCATTTGTTAGGTTGGCTAGGTGATGACATCATCTTTTAATTTTTGCTTATCTTTGAACAACTTTCTTCGCCTTCATTTATTAACGAGAGATTCCCTGGGTTAAGTTTTCCACATTGGAAGTACTTTTTTTTTTCCTTTTAGGATTTGTGCTATGTCTCTGCCTTTGCACCTAGTCTTAACAGTGTTTGTGTTGAGTAATGTGCCATCAGCCCAACAGAGGCCCCTTTAAAGGTGCACTTCTTGTATTCTGATTTCCACATCTTGCAAACTGGGGGAGTTTTCTAAGCCATTGTTTTTCTGTAGATTCAGGAACACCTAAGACATAACATTTGGTCACTTAATGGTATTCACATAGATTTTGAACACATTTCAGTTTTCTATTTTTTTTTTTATTTTCCTTTTGGATTGACAGAAATATTTTCAAAGACATGTCTTCTAACTCAGTGCTCTTCTGCCCTACTGAATCTGTTGTTAAGACTTTCTACTGTATTTTCATTTGAAATATTGGTATATGCTTACAATGAAGGAATCTCAACTGAACTTGAACTGTGGTCACGCAACAAGGTGGAGGAATCCACCATGGGGGGAGGGTTATGGGAGGGGTGGGGGGAATCCCAGTACCTATAAAACTGTGTCACATAATACAATGTTATTAATAATAAGAAAGAAATATTTAATTCTTAATTTCTAATATTTAGGTTTGATTTTTATTCAGTGGACTGTCTTCTTGCAGAATTTCTCATCTATATCATGATTTCCTTACTTCATGTAAGGGAAACATGAATTCCTTTT